TATTACACCAGGATGAACAGTTAGACCTTGAGATGTAATACTAGAGCAACCCATTAGGAGTCCTAAATATCCTCGAGGCAGGGGTTCCCAAACCTGTGTTGCTATAAGAAAAACTTTCCCTGCCTCATCTATTATGACACCTTCTGTCAAGGGTAAATCTAATCCTGCACTCCCTTCAGTAGCTACTTTTAAATCATTGACTCACAAATGTTGCTGTTTTGAGTCTATGCTGTGGTCTCCACACTCCACACTCGGGGGCTCCCTGGATTTTTTGGGGCGTGAGAGCTCTCACCCCTCTTCCCATTTCCTTACATAGGGTTGCCTTGATTGTTAAATTGAGATCTGCACTGCTTAGCCCAATGACCGCCTTTACCACAGCGGGGACACTTTCGGGTTGGAAATTTAGTGTTGGCATTTTTGTTTTTTAAACTGTGACAGTCCTTCTTAAAATGTCCAGGTTTACCACACCCGAAACAGGTGGCAGTGGATGGATGGAGAGCGGCTGCTAATACTTGTGCCTTATGAGTTTCTGTGCCAACATTTTGACATGCTCTAATCATTTCAGCTAAATTGAGATTCTGTGCCTTTAAGGGGGCTAAAACAGCTCAACAGTCAGCATTAGCATTTTCGTAAGCAAGCTGGAGACAACGAACTTCAGCCGCTTGTTGATTACCTACCTGTCAGGAAATGGCCATTTGGAGGCGGTTGACAAAATCAATGTAAGGCTCATTTGGAGGCGGTTGATAAAATCAATGTAAGGCTCATTTGACGCTTGGCAAATAGTGGCAAATGAGCCGGTGGGTGTTCTGGAGTCAGGGATTTTACTCCAGGCTTTGGTGGCAGCATCGGAGGCTTGACTGAATGCCTGCCTATTCATCTGACTCTGGGCCTAGGGAGTGGAATGATTCCCAACACCCAGGAGCATGTCAAGACTAACAGGGATATTATGGTTAAGATTGTCCATGGCATAAATGTTACAATGTTCCTTGTATTCTTGACTCCATATGCTAAATTGAGCAGGGGTTAAGACTGTTCACATTAAAATGTTCCAATCCCAGGGGGTCATCTCATAGTTTTGTCCTATAGCTTCTACAATTCCTTTTGTAAAGGAACACTGTAAACCATTCTCTATCATGCTTTTACGGAGTTCTTTAAAAACTTGAAAGTCAAGGCCATCGTGACGGGGCGGTCCTGATCCCCGAATGACAGCATAAGCAGAAAACCCCTTTTTCTCACAGCCCTCCCGCAAACATCTTTCCATAAGAGACTCATGTTGAAAGAAATCAGCCTTGGGAGGTGTGGAAAGAGGAGGGTCATAAACATTTTCTTTACTAGGGGAGGGAGCAGAAGGAGCTGCCTGTAGGGGCTGTAAAGTGAGGCAGCAGTGATGCCAAGCAATAAGAACTGAAGCTGGGATGTTCATGTCACGAATGATGTTACCGATACGTTCCCATGCTTCTACATCAAGGTTTCCCCGCAAGGGATACCAAGGACAGGCAGACTCAATTAAAAGCAGAAGTTGGGTAAGGGCTTCTTCTGACACCTTGAGCTTAGAGGCCTTTAACAATCCCAACAACTGGGTTTTGTGTTGATGTTGTTCAGGAGAAAGAGAATTCCCCATAGCGAGGAGGAATAGGAAAATGAAGAAAAGAATGATAGGAAAGCTCCTGGCCCGAAGCCTGAAATCCCTTGAGGGAGCATACGAGAAAGCCCCGCTACTCCCGGGGCTATAGCAGCCAGAGATGAGAACGTCCGGGAAAGTTCCGCCCGCAGAAAAACCCCGCCGCTCCCGGGGCTGTAAGAGCAGTCCGAAATGGACGCGTTCTGTACTTACCACCTTCAGGGATTGAGTGCGAGGATGTCTACAGCACCCTCACATGGGGCACCATCTGTCGCAGCCCCTCACACGGGGCATCATCTGTCGCAGCAGCGACGGTTGTCGGGACGGTGGAGACAGTAACCCCTCACACAGGGCACCATCTGTCGCAGTGGCGAAGGTTGTCGGGATGGCAGAGACAGTAACCAAACACAACTCTTACAGAGAAGTGGGGCCAGGAGGGTCACTCGGACGAGTCGACCCCAGCTTCAGTCCCAGGAGTTTATTTATAGTCAATACAGCAAGCAGTGAAGCAAATAACAGAACAATGAATGGGCTTTGGGTGCAGACCAGGGAGAAGGAATTCAGGTAAACAAGCCAATCAGTAAAGGGACAATAGGTTTGGGAAAACAAGTCGTGACAAGTCTCAACATGTTGGGGACAAGTCTCAACATGTTGGGGATAAGTCTCAACATGCTGTGCAGCATAGAGGCCTGTGGGGGCTGCAGTGGCCAATAGTGCAGCCATGTTTAAATGGCATATATCCCCACACTAACACATTTTTCCATTCTCTCAAAAACATTTCAAAGGAAGAAGCAACCAAATTATATGACTGAGTAGACGTAAGGTGCAAGGAAAAAGGAAGAAAAATGTGGTTTGTAGTCTTAAAGAGAGTGATACTTTTTAAGGTGCTGAGAATAATCATAGGTTAGGCCCTAAAGATGTATTAATCAAACTCTAAGGTATATCTGAGTAACCAACCCTTGTTCTAGTTCAAGAATGTATTTGGGGTGGACTTTGTTATCTGGCCGCCACCTGGCTGTCAGTTTGTTGTAGTACTGTGGTGGCTTGTGTGTTGCTATGATGCTGGAAGCTATGCCACCAGCAGGGTCAACTACAGTGGACAGGTTTCAGTGAGATCTTCAGGACTAAAACAGACTAGGAAGAAAGGACTGGTGATCTACTTCCAAAAACTAGCCAGTGAAAACCTTACAGATCACAACAGAATATTGTCCAACTCTCTTGCTTTGGATACATCATCAGGAGGGACCAATTGCTAGAGGAGGATATCATCTTTGGTGAAGCAGAGGGCCAGCGGGGGTGAGGAAGACTAATGGTAAGATGAATTGACACAACAGCCACAATGATGGACTCAAACATGCTGGCAATTGTGAGTATGACACAGGACTGGGCAAAGTTTCATTCTGTTGTACACAAGGTTGCCATGAGTTGGAGTCAACTCCATGGTAGCTATCTATCTGTGTTAGCCAGAGGAAGGTGAGTCATTATACCTGTAGTCATTTTGTATATTGATGAGCACACTGGCTGAGATGAGTGGGCCTACCATATAGCAGAAACAGCCAGTGTGTAGAGCGGTTCCAACCTTATAAAGCAATGCTTAGAAGGGAACATTTGAACTTCCAGAAGTTCTGATGAGGCTGTCACTCATTCAGATGAAATCATCTCAGCTGTGCATCTGCTGTGAAGATTTTGAAGTCTGGAAATTTGACCTCTACCTAACCTGGAAATTGTGACAGAGGTTTCTGCCCTGTATCCAGATCTTAATGGCTTCCTTCTGTATTTCTGTATCTTTTAGACAAGGAAATGATTTTATTTACCCAAGCAGCTGATCTTCCCATCAATCTGAGCCTCCTCTACACATTTATCAATACTTTCAATACTACAGCTGGGAAGATAATTGGTAACAGTGGGGTTGATGCAAAGACCCACACCCATTATGTCCAAGTCTGTGAGGAAAAAGTTGGGACAATAAAGGGGGGCAGTATGATATTGTGAAGCCAAGGTGATCTTCTTACCATCAGTGTTTATAATGTGCAAACTAAAGCCTTGTGATGTACAATAAGAGGTAAAACTTACCAAAGGAGAATAAAAATCATATGCTTAATTCTCAAGAATCTGGTCCAGTGGAATAGTATAAAGAACAGCAACATCAAAATCGAATACCCTGGCTATTGTTTACTGCATTGGTGAAAACCTAGTGAGCCAACAGAGGGAGTCAAAACAGCATAGATGAAACCTCTGACTACTGGGATTTATTGCAGTGTCCCTCATAACTCCTGGCATAGTAACCTTAGGGTATAGCAGGTATAGTTGTAAAGGGGGAAAACTGACAGCCAATATAAACATTGAAAATATGAATTCTGTTCTGATGAAATGGTAATTTTTCCTGTATCTGAATGCATAAGGTAAGGATATTCTAAGTAAATGGGAAAACTGCTATTATAACCCAGATCACTAGGGTATAGAAGATCTACCCTCTTTCTAATATTTTTTCATTTAATTTTTATTGAAGTATTATGTACACACAAAATATTGCAATATCTTTTTTAAAAAATGTGGTGAAAATATATATACAGCAAAACAGGCGCCTGTTCAATAATTTCTGCGTGTACAATTAATTCAGTGGCATTGGTTGTATTCTTCATATTTTGTCATCACTATTGCTATCTCTATCTAAATTATTTCACCCCCATTAACTTAGACCCACTGTCCCCTAAACTTTTCATCTATGCTTTAGAGTTACTGTTGTCAATTTGATCTCATATAGATAATTCTTTAAAAGAGCACAATGCTCAAGGTAAACATTTTTTTTTACTAATTGAGCTTAAACTGTTGTTTGGCATAAAAATGACTTTGGGAAATAATTTCAGTTCAAGGTTTAAATATTATCTCAGAGCAATAGATTCAGGGATTCCTCCAATCTCAATGCGTCCAGTAAGTCTAGATTCCATAGGAATTTTAAATTCTGTTCTACATTTTCCCCCCTTTTGATCAGGATCCAGATACTGAGTCCTTTATCAAAACATTCAGCAATGGTAGCCAGGCACCATACAGTTCTTCTGGTCTCATGGCAAAGGAGGCAGTAATTCATGGAGGCAGTTAGATCTGCAGTCCAGTTATTTCTCTGATTCCTGGATCTCTTTCCTTCTCTGTTGCTCCAGGTGAATAGAGACCAATTGTATCTCGGATGTTGGCTCACAAGCTTTTAAGACCCCAGGCACTACTTACCAAACTAGGAAGTAGAACAGAAACTCTAAAAACAATAGGCCAATTGACTAGATGGCCCCATGAAACCATGACCCTAAGCCATCGAACCAAGCAAACTAATCCCATGAGGTGTTTGGGTGTACCTAAGTGGTATCAACAGCTGCACCACCCTCCTTTTTTTTTGGTTTTGTTGTTGCTGTAAAATTATATATAACACAACATTTTCCATTTCGCCCTTTTTATGGTGTATCGCTTGGTGATATCAGTTACATTAGTCAAGTTGTATAACCATTGCTCTTAATCAATGCCAGTTTCCCCTCACCATAGACATAAACTCACTACTTCTCAGAGAATGATTCCCTCTCTCCCTTTCCCCTCCCACCCTTGGTAACCACTAATAAAAGTGCAATATCTTAAGAATAAAGCTAGTTGAATTTTCACAAACTAAACACATCTATGTAACATCACTCAGATCAAGAAACAGAACGTTACCGGCACTTCAAGACCCCTCATTATGTTCCCTTCCCAAGGGGAATTGCTATTCTGACTTCTAATATCATAGATTAATTTTGTCTGCTTTTGTGCTTTACATAAAGAAAGGAAGCAGTATGTACTATCTATTCATTCCATTGTTGTGCTATATTTCATCATGCGATGTGCCACAATTAATTTATCCCCTGTACTGCTCATGAGCGTTTTGGTAGTTTTCAATTTGGGGATATTGCAAATAGGGTTGATATAAACCTTAGTTTCATCACCAGGAGTCGGGGGCTGACTGGACTGCAGTTAAGAATGCAACAACCCTCCATAGGACTTGGCCTGAAAATTTGCTAGGCTCCTTCTCTTCCATGTCCGTTTCTCCTGGGACCACTTCTGTAATAAATTGCTTGCATATAAATCCTCTTCTCAGGGTCTGCTTCTGTGGAATCTGATTTAAGAGGAACACTGAAGCCTTTTCAATTTAAATACACTATTAAAGAAAAGTGATCAGATTAAATTGGGAGATTGTGTATGCCCAAGAGGGTGATACTTGGGTTATACATAGATCAGGCTTTCAAAGAGCTTATAGCGTGTCATTACGGGATGAACAGGATGTTAGACAAAACGAAATATATCTTAAATATAAAGTGGAAGGTGATAAATGACTCCAGAGGAATACTGGTGATCAAATAGGGAGAGAAGGAGACTTGGAGGAAGATGTAATGTTTGACCTGAGCACTGAAAGTTGAGTAGGAAATGAAGATGTAGCATAAAGACACTTCAGATGAAGGTGGCAACATGGGCGTAAGTCTATATTTTCGAGGAAACGTTAGGAAGTGATTTGTAAAGGACCCTAAGTTTTCATTACACAGAAATCTAAGTTAAAAAAAGGATAATTTGATTTTTGACAGGTGACCATTTATTTTAGACAGCCCACCGAATCCAGGAAAGCAGAAGCTTAAGATGAGCTGTGAAGATATAAATCAATAGTTCCACATCATCAGTGGCACAAAGAATATTAACTAATTCTTCCAACACAGAATTATTTTTCTAGTGAATGATAATATTTAAGGAGCAGTAGAGTTACTATATAGGAAATAAACCTAATTCTCTATTTTCTTTAGGGGGAGAAGGGTGGAGTAGATGTACTGATTTCTGATTGGTGTTCTTCAGGTCCAATACTTTGTTCCAGTTGCTTAACCTCCAATGACAGTTTATACACCTCCAGGGCCATTTGCACATCCTGCGGTCTTGGGAGACACTGCATGAGGTGTCTGCCTGATAGCACTTGCTCACAGCCTTGGGGGACTTCCTAAAAGAGACAGACAAAAGGATGGTTTTTTAGAGGCTTCTCTTCAAACTGTGATGGTGTAAGATTCTTTCAGGATTCATCACCATTGACAGCAAATTGAAGTATCAGGACCCTCCTTAAGATGATGGATGAAATCCAAAAGATACTTTGTGTCTCAGCAAAGTATTCACCTTAGGGCAGAGTTATGGATTGGATTGTGTTCCCTCAAAATAAATGTGGGAGGAGTTCCGGCAAATTGGCGCTCTAGGCAGAAGCACCACGCCGTCCCTCCACAGCAAAGATCCGAAAAACTAAGCCAGCTGAACAGAGAATACAACAATCCTAAAACGCTAAAACATCAAATGAAGAGATAAAGAACTCAGCCAAGCACCAAATGGAGTGAGAAAACTGACAGAGAATGGAGAGCGAGGAGAGATTCATGCAGAGGTCCCCTACCAGCTAACGCAGCGGGGATCCACCATCTTGGACTCCTATCGGAGACCAGCAAACAGGGGGTACGAGAAAGCAGCCTCATGGAGCATCCAGCGGGAGACAAAACAACTGGTAATTTGTGGTGTGCACTTTCCCAGACCCCAGCCCTCTTTATGCCGGCTCGGCCTCCTCTGCTTCCCGTGGCCACGGTCTCCTGACCGGGAAGTGCCGGCTGCTTGGATTCCACACACCCGAGTGGGCGGCTCTCTGGGTGTCATTTGTTGTCTGCTGGTGTTGCTTTTTTCTGCTTCTTTTGATTTCTTCCTTACCTCTTGCCATCTCCCCCTCCTTTTGCTCAAGTGCCTCGCTCTGTGCGCCATCTTTGCTTCTTCCTGAGGGGCTGCAGAGCAAAGGTAATTTGTGATATATGCTTTCCCACTCTCTACACTTCTTCACCCACACTCAGCCCCCTCTGCTTCCCATGGACACAGTCTCTTGTCCAGAAACACCAGCCCACACTAGCTGGCTCTCTGAATGCCATTTGTTGGCTGCTAGTGTTGCTTTTTTTCTTCTTCTTCTTTTGATTCCTTACTTGCCTCTTACCACCTCCCCCTCCTTTTGCTCTAATGCCTCGCTCCGTGCGCCATCTTTGCTTCTTCCTGAGGGGCTGCAGAGGACCGGTAATTTGTGATATATGCTTTCCCACTCTCTACTCTTCTTCACCCACACTTGGCCCCTTCTGCTTCCCGTGGACACAGTCTCTTGTCCAGAAACACCAGGCTGCACTAGCTGGCTCTCTGGGTGCCATTCTTTGGCTGCTGGTGTTGCTTTTTTTCTTTTTCTGGTTCTTTTGATTTCTTGTTTGCCTCTCGATGCCTTCCCCTCCTTTCACTTGAGTGCCTGACTCCGTGTGCCATCTTTGATTCTTCCTGACGGGCTGCGGAGCTCCATTCTAGTGTGGAGCTGCTTCCTGGTCTGGGCTACCACTGGTAGCTGGTGGGATCCCCGGGCTTTTGTTCGTTTGTTTGTTTTGAATTGTTTGTTTGTTTTCTTTTCCTCTTCTTGAGTTGGGAGCCCTTTCTGGCCAGGCAGAGCTGCATGGCAAGGAGACTCCCCTTCGGCTTCCACAGACGTGCAGAGGGATCCCGGAGGGCATTTCTTTTTTATTTTTCTCCTTCTTCTGTTTTTTTTGGGGGGTGTTTCTTGTTTTTTTTTTTTTAATTTGTTTTGTTTTCTTCCCCCTCTTTTTCCCTTTTTGTCTTTCTTCATTGCTCAGTTTCTTGTCTCTCTATATCTTCCTTCTCTTTCTG